GTGTGTGTGTGTGTGTGTGTGTGTGTGTGTGTGTGTGTGTGTGTGTGTGGGTGTGTGTGTGTGTGTTTGCTTGCTCGGGCGCGAGACAAGTTATTAGGTAAAGTCTATTTCAATAGAATTGAGAGTAAACGTAAACAAACCAGTTGGATTAAAATTCTGAAGAAATCACTCACTATATGGAATAAGTAACACTTTTATGTGTATTTTGTAGGTTTCCACTAGATATCTCACCACTTTTTCCAACAATATTCGTTTGTTATGCATTATAAAATCATAATTGAAAAATCTTCGCCGAAAACTGAGATTGATTTGACAATCCATAGTCTAGAATGTCTATGGTTGCATAGGGATGTACGGAAAAAAGTTCAATTGAGTGAATCATAGTTTGAGTAAGTGATTGCCTCAAGAGTCACCAGAAACTTACGTCTTGAAGTCATTTGACCAACTCTTATTTCTGTACCGCTTACAAACGATTTAGCGACTTGTTAACTATCAAGTATTTTCATAATTTTCTGTATTTAACTGATAGCTTCTAACTTTTAAACAATAAATGTCAATAATCGTAAATAAAGAAACGTTTTTATATGTATCACCTTCAATCAATTTACAACGGTCAAATGCGCGGAATTCACTTGATGTTAGTCCAACAGATTCAATTGATCGATCTGATTCATTCAATAATTGATTAGTAAATTACTCTACAATTGCCCATCACTAAACCGACTATGGTCGGGTCAATGCACTCAATGTTTACCTTTACTCTCAATTCATTTGAAACAGGGTATAGTACATATTTTATAACTATGTTAATATTTCAAGTACTCTTTCGGTTTCGTCGTAATTCTGTACCTTAAGCCATTTAGTTATTTTAGTTTTGTTTGTGTTTTTACATGCATTTACTATATTTAATTTTTTATTTATAAAATTGTACAATCTCCCACTCCTAAAATGATAAAACCTCGAAGCAAAGGAAGTACAAACCTTATTTGTCTTACATACTGCATAGGATCTTCTAGCCGTGGATACTCTAATGTAGTTATCAATACGTATATTAGAGTGTTGTCGAAGTACCGTGTGCAGAATATAAATTTGACGAACAGAGAGAACATCTGCATCGTGATAAAGTTGCGTCGTTGGAAATCTTCGCGGCTTAAACAAGCATACTTTCAGCGACACTCTCTGTGCTCTTTCCAATTCCATCATCGCAGACATAGTGGCTCCACCCCAGGATGTAATGCAATATGATATGATAGATTGCGCCAGTGCCAGATATACCATTCTCATAAGTCTGCTATCAGCAATATAACGAAGCTGTTTGAAGATGTAAATCAATTTCCTTAGTCTCCGTGCAACCTCGCGAATGTGTATATTGAATCTGAGGTTGTTGTCAAATATAACACCAAGATATTTTATATTTTGGGTGCAAGTAATGAGGGGACAGTCACACATACCAGTTGAAGAATTGGAACATTTATGCGCTATTAATGGCATATGGATAGGCAAAGAAACAGCGTTTTTTATTGTAAATACTACGTACCTAGTTTTTTCCGCATTTAATGTTAAGCAGTTTCTAGTAAGCCAAGTAGTAACACTATCAAATCCGCTCTGAGCTAAGGAATGAAGCTCATCCCAACTATCAGCATAAAAGGTGAGGGTAGTGTCATCTGCATAGGAAGCGATTCTGCAGTTTTTTATATTTAGTTGGCAAAGATCATTGATGTAGCAAAGAAAGAGGGTAGGACCGATTATACTATCTTGCGGTACACCATATTTAATTGGTAGATAGTCACTGAAGTGATCACCCACCCTCACACACTGTGATCTATTACACAGATAGTCAGAGAACAAAGATAGTTGTACTCCTCTAATTCCCATCTCACATAGCTTTTGAATTAGGTGGGGTAAAGAGACTGTGTCAAAGGCTTTTGCCAAATCAAGAAACACTGTAAGACATTTTTGTTTTTGGTCAATTTTTTTTGATACGAAGTCCGTAAAGTCATGTACCGCATCATCTGTAGACTTCCCGGTTCTGAAGCCATATTGAGTTTTAGCAAGTAAGTTTTTCTGTTCGAGGTATTTAGTCAATCTTTTATTGATTATTCGTTCGAAAACTTTAGAAAGTGTCGTAAGAATAGAAATTGATCTGTAATTATTAACACAGCCTCTATCGCCCCCCTTAAATATGGGATAAACTATGGACCTCTTCAGTGCATCGGGAAACACTCCACCCGTGAGACAGCGATTAATGATATCAGTGAGAACTGGTGTTATTAAGTGTGATATAGCTTTTAATACTTTAGCACTGATTCCGTCCCAACCAGGAGAACAATCACTTTTCAGCTGCAAAATGGTACGTTCCACTTCTTCACAATCACAAGATAAAAGAACAAATGAATGTAATGCTCCATTAGAAACATTTTGCAGATCTGTAGGTGTCGATGTAAGCCTTTCGGCCAAGTTCCCACCAATAGTAACAAAGAAGTCATTAATTTTATTTACTGCAATTTTAGGGGTACTGTAACCAAGTAACAATTCAGTGGGGATAATTTTTTGGGTATCACTATTTGTAACCTTTTTGATGGAATCCCATAGTTTTTTGGAATTATTACTTGCCATGAGCAGCTGATCCCTCTCGTACTGTCTTTTGAGCCTTTTTAATAAATTGTTACAATAATTCCTATATCTTCTATAGCTGGTGGCCAGTATATCGTTGTTAGGATTTAATCTGACTTTAATATGCATACGATCTCTGTTACGGATACATCTGAGCAAGCCTGTTGTGATCCAAGGCTTAATCGTTACTTTATTACGAGGCACTGTAATGTTAATAGAGTTCATAATTATCTGAGACATATATTTAATGAAAATATTAAGAGCTATCTATGATGTGTTTAGGAACAACATTAAATTCAAATTCAAATTCAAAATAATCTTTATTTCATAGGTAAGCATTATTACACTTGAAATCGTCACAATGGTTAAACTCTACCGCTCATTCGTAAGGCAGATTCCCCTGAGAAGAATGAGCAAGAAACTCTAGGGGTTGCTCTTTGTAAATAACATTTACAATATTTTGTTTTTATTTGAAACATCAGAGATCGAGACTACCTCCATGAGCTAAACGGGTTACTACCACGGATTTTTGTCATCCAAGTACGCAGAAGTTGTATAATAACCTTTAGTACAAAGTTTTTGTTTCACTATAGTTTTAAACCTCGTGAAAGGCAAATTTTGTATATCAACCGGAATCTTGTTATAGAAGCGTATACATTGCCCCTTAAATTATTTTTTGACTTTGTGAAGACGACTATCAAGAAAAGCTAGTTTATTTCTATTCCTCGTATTAATGTTATGTCTGTCACTATTTTTCATAAATAAATTACTATTCCTTTTAACATAAATTACATTTTCATAAATGTACTGTGAGGCTAGTGTAAGAATGTTAATTTCCTTAAACTTATCTCTCAAAGATACTTTGGGGCCCAGATTGTAAATTGCTCTAACTGCACGATTCTGCAGGACAAAGATTCTATTGATATGGGCGGCATTACCCCAAAGCAAAATACTACTATATAATAACATGCTGTTACGACTGGCGAAATGGCGGCAAATAAAACTTTTGTCACGCATGTCACACAACCGTAGTTTTTATTTAATTCATAGACAAAGTAGAATCGGCCCCAACTATCGTATTGTTCGATACCAAGTAACGTATGAAATTTGTCAAAATTGTTTGCTATTGACATTTCATTTCGAATCTTCAATCTTCATCTCGACGGATATTAGAATTGTTATGTTTTTCAGAGATGTTCGAAAGACGTGAAAATGTTATTATTCTGCAATAATAACATTTTCACAGATAAGAAATTTGTTATAACAAAACAGTTTATCTTTATGCTGGTCGTAATTTGCGGTTTTTTAACACATCATAGAGGGTTTATGATATGTGTGTAAATAAATACATTTAATAACTATTTCAGGAGCAGGATTTGGTGTAATGATCCCAGTGAGTTTGACAGCGTTCAACTGCTACTTTAATAAGAAACGTACAGCCATGATGAGTGCAAACCAGTCGATGAGCTCGCTGGCGTCCATAACCTTTCCTATGCTGGTGACGCTTCTTTTATCCGAATACGGGTTTAGATGGACCTTGATTTTAATAATGGCCTTGGATTTACATTTAGTGTTAGCTATGTTAGTCATGCATCCTGTTGAATGGTATTTAATTAAGGGTACTGAAGCTGGTAAGTAAATTTGTTGGAACTTTAATTGTTTTGTAAATGAATATTGTTTAATTTCCGTGACAAACATTATTGTCAGTATTTCATTGCCGAAATATACTTGTTATTTCTGCCTCATTTAACAAGAAACCGTCATTTTTGTTCCCGACTTTAGTGTCCAACTCTATTAGTCTTCGTAATTTATAAATTAGTTACACTACTAAATAAGTTTAGTGTAGGTGATGGGTACGCTTTATAGCCCGAATTTTGATAAAATGGAATGATGAGAAATGAGAAATGAGAAATTTCTCATGTGAGCTGTTGTTATTTGATACTTTATGAGAAATATTTCTTAAAACTTTATTAGAGTTAGTAAAGAAGCCAAAAGATAGATTGCCGCATTTCCCAGTTGTTAGGGTTTTAACAATATGTGAATAAAGACTACATTTCAAACACAGACATTTTCGTGAAATGTTACATGTAAGAAGCAGATAGATACATCAAGTCAAAGTCAAAGTTAAAGATAATTAAGTTAAATTTTTAAAGTAAAAAAAAAATTTAGTTAAAGATATAAGCACATATTTACAGAGATAAACAAAATGAACGTAGATGATTTCATATAGTTTAAATGTTGTGGGATCTTTTTCTCATTTCTCATGGATTATCCTTGGAGATAATTTACGATGACTTTCTAGTCACCATCCAAATGTTTTCGTGGTCCGTGGTGCAGCCCGCGCCATGCGACTCGCGAAAATGCGCCGTGGGACGAGGGCCACCCGAGCTCGCCCGTGGTTACGCATGATTGCCTGTTCGGATCCGCTGCTGGCCAGTACTTTCGCGAGCTCGCCCGTATAAATCGGCGCGTTTATAATTACAGGCCGTGAGAAGCCTTTAGGTATCATACAAAGACTCCAAATTTGGTAGGTAGGTAGATAAAAAATTGGTAGGTCTTAGGCACAATAAGATTTCCGAAAGAATTTTGAAGATTGCTTGAGTAGCTACGCTTGACATTCGACATTTTATTCGAAACACGAGGCGATGGCGATGCGCGGTGAGGGATATCTCAATCTGTAGGGCTAACACCACAGAGATAAAGCGCGGGATACTGCTATTTACGCCTTATATTACGCCTTGTCGTGTTAGCCCTACTGGGGTCGTAGTTCTTTCCTCCTTCAGCGGCTTGCGTAGAGCCTATGTGTTACGGCTATTGTTCCTAGGACCGCACCACGCGTGTCCCGGCGTATACCAACTATACTGGTAATAAATGTAATTTTCTCAAACATGCTCGGAAATGTTTGCATTACTTTCAAAAAATGAACACTGTAAAGGCCCATTTAGATGGGGAGAGTTTCTCGCACGCTTCGAGACGAAAACTCGTAGGCGATTCTCGTAAGCAATAATCGCCATAAGATTATCGTATCATAATGTTTACATTCAGGCAAGAACTAAAATCTCGCCTACGATTATGTCATACGAGACTCGTAAGCAACTTAATCGCCTCCTCGACTGTTTACACGGAGAAATATGTAGTAAGGAGATTCTTGCTTACGAGTTTTCGACTTGTCTAAACACGATCTCGTATGACATTTTTTCAAGTTCATACGATTATCGTACAAATCGGTTCGAACCGTTTTGAGTGCGAGAATTGCCATTCGAGTTCAGTGATTACTGCGGTATTGACTATGGATATATCGAAATGACGCAAAAATCATTCAAATTTGGAACTGCTGATAATATTAAGTTCATTGCACTGTATAGAAATATAATTTTGATTTATCATTTTTTTTTTTAATTATATAACTACTGACACAAACAAAACTGACAATTATGATAAATTTATAGGGCGAGTGAGTGCGTGCATGCGTGCGTGCGCGCGGGCGTGCGTGCGTGCGTGAGTGAGTGGTGAGTGAGTGAGTGAGTGAGTGATGAGTGAGTGGTGAGTGAGTGAGTGAGTGAGTGATGAGTGAGTGAGTGAGTGAGGGGTGAGTGAGTCAGTGAGTGGTGAGTGAGTGGCTGAATGAGTGAGTGTGTGAGTGGTTAGTGAGTGAGTTGTGAGTGAGTGAGTGAGTGAATGAGTGAGTGAGTGTGTGAGTGGTTAGTGAGTGAGTAATTTGTGAGTGTGTGGGTGAGTGAGTGAGTGAGTGAGTGAGTGAGTGAGTGAGTGTGTAAGTGAGTGAGTAAGTGAGTGGTGAGTGAGTGAGTGAGTGGTGAGTGAGTGAGTGAGTGAGTAGGGAGTGAGTAGGGAGTGAGTGGGGAGTTAGTGAGGAGTGTTTATTGAAAAGTACATTTACTTGAAAAGTCGTGTCGGCCATCTTGGATTTAGAAATAAATGCTATGTTCGTAATGAGCACCCCCAAATACCTCAAAAACGATACCCAACTTGCCATTATTTGAAAAGTGCGGGCACGACTTTTCATCCTGGATTTAGAAAGGAGTGCCATATTCGTTACGAGAGCACCCTAAATACTATATTGCCCACGCTATATTCGACCACAGAGGCACTCACTCACTCACCGTTATTTGAAATTTCTTTTTCGCTCTTGTTCCATTAATTCTTGTCTTAGAAAAGCAGTGATAATCAAAACACCCTCGCGCGCTGCACTCGTGGTAGAAACGGCTGGCACAGAAACTCGAAATACGATTTTTGCTTTCGAGTTCTGTTTACACGGAGACGTTATATTGAAAGGCGAAGAGATTATCGCTCACGTGGACGGTCGATAATCGCAAATGTTTAGACGAGGAAAGTTTTTTTATATTCTTTCGATAATCGTATCTTCGAGACGAGAAACTCTCTCCATCTAAATGGGCCTTAAGTTTGTCATTTATTGACCATGCGACGTCTTTCCGGCAAAGGTCTGCAAATTAAGTATGAAAATAAGTAAGAAAATCCATCTCCTGTCTCTAAACTTTCAAATCTACCTACTAATAATGAACTATGTAAATAGGAGAAAAACTCATACAGCCAACTGCCCAATGTTCATAATTGCGAGAATAATAAATCTAATCTGATAAATCTTTCATAGATTTCTCATAGATGGCGCTACGACTAAAGAGTCGTTGAAAAACCAAATACAAAGACACGACGCAAGCACATAGAAAAATTCGTGAGGTCCGCTGGCGCTGGTTCGTTCCGTGGCTTAGTTGGTATAGCGTCTGCCACGGTAAACTAGAAGACGTCGGTTCGAATCCGGCCGGTTCGAAGGAATTAATTAATATTTTTTACTTTTTCTATTATATATCTTCCTCTCTTTAGTCTTTTATTTTTTCTTCCCATTGTTTGAGAAAAATTCTATACATGCCTCGGCGGGAACGGGTACTCGTCCAGCAATCTCTTACTTCCCGGCCTCTGCAATAATGTACTATTTAAATACTAAAAGTTTAAACGGGAGTGAACAACACACGTCAAACAATTTTGACGGCCAGTAATTAGTATCCCTATCTACCGATCAGAGAGATAGGGTTTTCCGGAGAGACTACGGGTTCGACGGCAAGACCCTGGTCTTACTTGGGTACGGCGGGCGTCCGGGCCCTACTTCGGGTTATATATTCGATGAATGAGTAGTTAGAGTTGGATCCTAAAATGGTAGTGACGTAATTTAAATTTTAAACTCTACAAGACACGGGTCTAAATGTAATTATCATCATTTTATAGTACCTGCAATATTAAAAATATCTGTTTCTAAGTGCATTATTATGTGTTTATGTTGTTTACGTTTTGCGCAACTGCATGTAAGTACTCGTCTTGTGGTTTTCAGATACGTTATGTGAAGCGTTGAGTCTTAAAAAGTTAAGTTTCGACCAGGCAGCGGTGAATATGCTGTCAGATGACGACAGTGATATCGAGGTCACAGATATAAAAGAAAATAAAGGAAGACGTCGACATGAATCTATACAGAAGAGTATATTGTGAGTGCACACAACACACACGTACGCACGCACCCACATAACGTGCATTCACGTGCAAACGTACAAAGTTCACGGGCCAAAGTTTTCGTTAAATATAATTTATTTAATCCAAAATAGGCGTAATAGTTTAGCTACTGAAACTAGATGCCGCCACTTATTCTGCTTTCCTTGTCATAAATTCATAACTAACCTCAAGAGCTTTAAATAGTAAAGATATAAGTGACACTGCCACTGCACCCGTCATGACATAAATTGGCAAATTGACAAGTCCCATGTGCCTGATATAATAATTTCATCAGCATCCTTATCTTAATGCTCACATTATCCCTTGGTGTCAGAAATAGGTAAGGTGGCAGTACTTTCTTGGACGAACTCTTTCACAAGGAGCTTTACGGGTACTAATGAGATTTTGAGAAATTAAGTGAGCTCCCTTGATATGGAGCGTCCTCAGATATTCTGCACCTATAAGCCTGGGACCAGCGGCCCCAGTGGTAAAACCTTGTTTATTTGACAACCTTTTAAACGATTGTCGTTGATTTTACTTTTAAACGTTATTTTCAGAAAAATCATATACGAGAATGTAGACGTGGATCTGTTGAAAGATCCACGTTTTGTGAGCACTTTAGTGGGATTGGGCTTTACTTTCGTCTCTGACGTCACCTATCTGGCTATGGAGCCAATACTACTGTTCTCGTATGGATTCAGCGAGGTGATACATTTTTTGTGTTTATACCACGTTGTTTAGCGCTAAGGGAAACTTGAAGAGCCCTAGTATATTTTAATCTCTCAAATTGAAAAAAAGTCAGCTGTTCTATATAAACACATTGCACGTTGTAGTGCACTTTGATGTCTTAGGCAGAAGAAGATCAGTGTAGAACCTTATATGGGACTGGTGACGTAACGCGAGAGAAATTGAAAATTAATGACTTAAAAGTACAAAGAGCCAAGGTCGAGGCTTTCTTTATTAAAGCAGCCGGGGTAAGTTGTTCACAACAAGTGATATAATCAGATAAACAAAAGAATACGAACCCACCATTTCTCAATGGATTGGTACATTGAGTGGTTACATGCCGGAAGAATTCAAGTTTGTTCTACAAGTGCAGTGAGAAAACTTGCTTCTTAATTAAGACATAGACGGTTTGAATCCCTTGGATGGCGTATATCACCATATAAGTAAAGGTGTATATCTAAGATTAATCTCTCAGTTCGGTAGCGAGTAAAAAAGAGTAATATAGCAGGCCGGCGTCAAAAAAAAGGATGACACCGTGAGGAAACCTACGTATCAGAGAAAGTTTATAAAAACTTGTGTGGATGGTTACTATCAACTCTCACTTTTCAGTATAGTTATAGGAAACTAATTTTGTAGATGCAAGTAGCGACGTGCGTGATGGTGGGCGCCGTGGCCGATTTCTTGGCGAGATTAGGACTGGCGATATTCACGTATTTCTACACAGTGGACAGTCGGACGATTTTCTTTTTTGGTACTTGTGTCACTGTTGTTCTACGTATCGGTAAGTTAACTAACGTTTTAGTTTAAGGAAATAGATGTCCTAATTATTAATACAAAGATCCAACTCAAAGAAAAAATTCTTCGATCCGACAGGACTTGAACCTATGTCCACGCTGTACCTAAGCGTTGTTCTGCCAACTGAACTACAGGGCGACGAAATTATTCTATACATATATTATAGATCTTTGTACTGGGTTTTTTCGTCTTTCAACGCCGTAAGCGACATCTTGTGAGAGATTTATAAACCTTTTCACTCAGTCAGTGCCTTCACAGCTACCACAAGTTGATGTTGATGTCGCTTTTTAATAAAATACCTTTTAGAATTTCCAGGTTATTTGCCAAGTTCAAGTCCTACCGCGCCGGGTCAAAGGAATTTTTCTTTATGTTCGATCTTTGTATTAATAATTATAAGAAACTAGTGGAGTTATTTATTATGTGTCTAAGTTTAAACGTAGACAAATGTTTGATGTAATGACGTGAGCGATTGGCGACACGCGCTACCGACCCCCTGGGCTCCAAGTCTGCTAATTTTGAATCATCTCTGTTTCCTGTCGATAGTGTCAGTGCTAGGATTTTGTACGTTTGGTATTCTGCAGTTCAGAGTAGCGGCTTGTCAGTGGCTAGCATCGAGTATATAACCAGAAATAGAGACGAAAGAAGGGCCATACAACCCTGGCAACTCATCGGGCAAATTGGTCTTATATCACTTTTAAATATCAGTTCTCGTTTGCACTGAAATCACAAATTAAAAAGCTGAAATAGTACAGCGCCAACAACTGACCTGTGTGTACAAACATATTCTGTATTTATTGTAGTAATAAAGATAATATCTCTAACAATGGAGGCTGTTCCATTCGGTGGTGTGGGAAACAGCGAAACATCTAATTACGAAACAAACGGAATCACATTTCATCGGTAATTAAATATTAAATATGTATGTTTCGACCATTAGAGCAAAGCTCAAGTTAAACTGATCGATTTCAAGTGAAACAATTGACGACACCCGTCAATTGTTTGAAATTCGGGCTGCCCAATCGGAGGGCAATTGTCACCGTAATGATATGGCAGAATAGTTTTCAAACAAATCAAATGACATTTCGTCTCTATTTTTGGTTATATACTCGATGGTGGCTAGCCATTGAGCTACGTGTGGCGCACTATAAGTTTCTGGAATGAATAAGAAAAAAAGCACTATAAATGGTGAGAAATTAATTTATTGTTTCTCAAAATTTTCTTCGTTAACGTTAATGCACTTTTTCATACGAATGAACCAATTTTGAAAACATTTATGCCACTCCTCCGTGCTAATCTCTGAAACATATTTTTTATACTCTTCGACAGTCTCTTCAGGTGATGAAAATCGTTGACCGCGTAACTGGTTTTAATTTTTGGAAATAAATAAAAGTCACAAGGTGCCAAGGCGACTGTACGCGGGATGGCTCATAAGGTCAACGTTGTTAACCTTCAAAAATTCATTTGTCGGTCTGGCCGTGTGAGAACCGGCATTATCGTGGTGCAAGATGATACGGCGTTTATGGTTATTCTTACGGAGTTTGTCAATAACTTCCGGCAAACAAACGGTCGTGTACCAATCACTATTCACGGTACAACGATTCTCCAAAGCAACAGTAGCCACGTGTCCAGTTTTATTTAAAAAAGAAGCAATCGTCCGCTTGGAGGCACTTTGCACGCGCGTCACTTTGGTTGGTTTCGGTTATATGCCCTTACGCTCGATTTCTGCTTTGTTTTGGGATCGTAACTATAAATCCATGTTTCGTCACCTGTTACTATGTCCCACACCAAATTTGACTTGACTTTTTTCCCTTTATGTATGTGGCCAGTTCCGGAAACTTATAGTGCGCCCTATGTACTATTCAACTTCCATTGCAATTTTATGCAAATCTGCTCTTCAATGGCGAGTCCGTGTCACGTCAATGGGGTAGTCTACTAATATTATACATATATGTATATTTAATTAGAAGACTAAATTACTGAGCAAACGAGATAAAAATTATGTATGCATAGTAATTTCCATGGTAGGCTTAGTAAGGCAATATCAATTCAACATTTTCAGCAGGAGTAATGTTAGCGTTACTGTGTTCCGGTTTAGAAGGATAAAGGTGCTTGGTGAAATTACAGGCATATGGGAATTGTTAACTTATGTCTCAGAGTGATAGGCGCAGTGGCAGTGCAATATAACTATTACACCGTCATTTTATTACACTACCATTCCACTGACACCCTTTTGAGACCCAAACGCTTTGCGCATAACAAATATTGTTATAATTGCAATATAAACTTAGTGGATTCTCAATGGAATTATAATGGCCAGGTTTCAAGGAAATTAGCAGATTTGGGGCCCTGTTGTTTAGTGAATTTCGATAATTTGTAGACCTCGGGTGCATTCATAACATTAACATTTAAGAGTCGATCCCTCAGTTCGATTTCAAATTTTTCCCGTACTAATACGGTTCATTTTGCTTGGATCGAGCGTCAGGGACATCTGCCTTATTCCAGAATGACTTTTTTTTACAAACGAATGAAATGAAACTTCCGCTTCCAAGCACAATTTTGTAATGAAGTCTCCAATACCATTTGTGCTTTGATATTTCTATACTAGGACACTACACTGGCATAGATTCTACTAGATATGTTAGCAATTCTCCGATTCGTAACCAACAGAACTTTCTACCAAACGGTAGACACCCGTTCGCTCCACTCTTTCTTTTCGTAAGTGGCGGAAGTGTGGCAGCACGATGTCGAAGCTACCAAATCAATCACCGTACCAATTAGGATTACTTCGAATGATTCAAATAAAATTTAATAAAAATCATGACACGAAATTAAAGCCATTTGAAAACTATATATATATATACATACATACATACATACATATACTTCACGCCTTTTTCCCATCGGGGTAGGCAGAGACAACAGTCTTCCACTTGCTACGGTCCTGGCACACATCTTTCACCTCATCAACACGCATCCATGCTTTCATACACGCTCGTCGGTTAAGGGTACTCTTGACCTGGCCCTTCTTTAGGATGGCCTCAATTTGGTCATGATAAGTTCTCCTTGATCGGCCCATACCAACTTGCCCGCTCACACTCGCCTTATAAATCTGTTTCGTCACTCTTCTTTCATTCATTCTCTCTACATGTCCGAACCATCTAAGCATTCCTTTCTCTATCTTTGTCACTATATCTTCTTCCACGCCGCAACGCTCTCTTATCACACTGTTCCGTAATTTATTCATCCGAGTCACTCCAGCCGTACTCCTCAAAGCTCTCATTTCTACTGCATTAATTCTACTTTCATGCTTCTTCTGCCAAACCCAAGATTCACTACCATACATAAGTGTGTTCCTACACCCCTGTGTAGCACCCCCCCATGCACAGCCAATCGTGCCTTTTTAGACACTTTCTGGCTGCCCATGAAGGTATGCAAGGCACCATTCACCTGATACCCTGCGTTCACTCTTCTCTCAAATATATATATATATATATTATAGTACACGTGTTCTATTTACTTCACTTGATGTAATAAAAAATATTAGTATGTCTGAAGTACCTATTGTGTTTTCACACCGTAGAGTAATTAGTATATATACTCAATTTTACTATATATTTTTCCAACGTGATTGATTCAACACTTCCACTGTTATGCGAAATTAATCAAAGTCATTTGAGGTTCTATAGACTCTTAAGATAAATAATTTCTACTATTTCGGGGTCAATGATTCCGGGCATGAATTTAATCCGTGTTTTCATAAACATAAAAAAATTGTGAAGCTTTTTTGTTTCACACACTCCATTGTGAATTGCCAATTAGATTAAGGTATGGTGACAAGTATAAAATTCTCGCAAAGCGGTATTTTAGCGATCAATAGCATTTTGTTATTTTGACTAGGCAACTTTGAGACACCAAAATAACTCCATAGTGTTGGTTGAAGAAATTTCATATATTGTCGGCGTTAACGCTGACTAATTTGATTGAGACCCTCAGCATGCTGCCAAATTGTCAGGAACAATTAGCACCTTTGGTATAGTCCTATCTGCAAAATGACAAAATTTCAGGAGAGAGGTTTAAATCGGCCACTGGGTCAATGAGGATTTAAAGGACAACCTGGACAAAGAGAGGGAACGCAGGTCCCCTGGTGGCTGTCCGCTGTAACATGCTGGCCCGAAGGTTTGCAAGGTTTGCAAATTTCGCTTTTCAAAGCGTACTGCATATCATTCTACACCTGCAGCCTCTGGGTCGATTTTATAGTGAGTGCATACAGTGATCTACGGGTCCAATGTAATAAGGCATTCAGGGTTCTGTTCGGGCTGCCGAGGCGATGCAGTGCTTCGGAGATGTTGCGCCTCCATGCTAGCCCGCCTCCGCGGTAGCACCAACGGGCTCCTGAGTGTGTCCATAGACCGGTGGAACTTCCCAATGTTACAGCATTGGGTGCAGGTCCACGCCAGGATATAATTTTTGATTTTAATTTATTTTCAACCCAACTGACACTAGTTTTAAGAGAATTTGTTACTGTGGACAAGATTCCGAAATAAGTATTCGTACTTATTATTAGTAAACTTTCTACGAATAAAATTATTCGTAGCTTCTTCACGTTTAAATAGGAGAGATAAAAATATTACGTTTAAAAATAATTAGTTTATATATATCGAGTTCTTAGGTTTTCGCGATTGTTACACATAGGAAATGAAACTATTTTTCCGGATTTAAATCGCGTATATTTGTTTTTTCAAACAAACATATACTAGACATAGACTGCAGTACTAATTAATATGTTTTAGTTTATTCTAATTTATATTAATAATTAATAATAAATTAAACTTAATAAAAATTCATTCAATAAAATAATTTGTAAAGCTTAATGTAGCGTAAATTGGAATGTTTCTTTGTAAAATAAAAATAAGGTATTTAATTAATAACTATTGTAACTATAGTGAAAAAATAGGGTGGTTTGCATTAATATTAGACATAACTGGTTGAAGACTGTACCACCTCAGTCAACCGTGACCATGGGACCTGTAAAGGGCCCGAAACGTCGGTTTGTTTGAAAAAACAAATATACGCGATTTAAATCCGGAAAAATAGTTTCATTTCCTATAGTTTCATATACTTCGTTATATTTCTATGATTTTCATTTGATAAAAGCAGTTGTCGTATGATCATGTCATGTGGCTTTATTATACCAATACGAATTTCTGTCGTTAGCATTACACTGATGTCGATATATTTTTTTAATCCTTATTTTTTTAATTAGGATTAAACTAACTAACTTGTTAAAGTTTGAGTTTATAATTTCCAGCACTCGTAAGCACAAGTGACCTGTACTTCGTGTACGCCATAACCGTGATCTCCGGCCTGGTGCGGTGTACGGTCCAGGTGCTGTTCCCGCTGGTGTTGGTCACGGCAGCTCCCGATCGGTTCCCTGCTGCGCTGGCGCTGCATATTCTGTTCTCTGGGTGTTTGATGTTAATGGCTGATCCTTTGATTAGTGAGCAGTTTTTTTTTATTACGGCAATATCAATTAAAACAAGTTAGTAACCCTCCCTTATCGTATAAATGATGAAAAGTTCAACAGTGTCTTTTTACACCCGAGTACATTCCAGTGAAATCGTATTCGAAATTATCCTATGGTCGTTTTTAAGTTTTTAAGTCGGTGTAAGAAAGAAACTCCTCTCAAAAGTATTTTCCATAAGTTACCTTTGCCTGCATGTCTTAAAAATTGTTACCATCTGCTTATACATTATTTACAACAACAAAACCGAAGAAATCTAACATAAATTTATCTACATATAAAAATGAATGTATGTTTGCAAATTTATATGTTTGTCCGGGGCTCTAAGTCTGCTATTTTTCTTTAAACCAATGGCCTTTGTTCTATAGAGGCTCCACTGACAGTATATTGTAATTATGGTAATTTTGTTATTCTCCTAGCATCTATCTAGTTGGTATGGCAGTTGGGTGTGGCAGTGATGGCATTCATTCAATTACTAAGGATCGATTTTGCCGTTTAATCGTAATTTAGTTTTGAAATTAAATGCATTTTTTTATTTCAAATAATTAGTAGACTACGCCGTCGACGTACCATCGCTGTGGCCCCTTAGCAATGTTAGTGAAAATTTATAACAAGGTACCCAATAATATTAAAGCTAAAGAAAATTTAATTAAATTTAAAAAAATGTTAAAAATGTACATAATTCGAAATAATTTTTATTCACTTCAGGAATATTTCAATAATTAATTAGAATTTTATTTGTGTCACGATTGTTACCCGTTTTTACTTTCAATTTTATTTAATGTTTAGTTTCGGAGTTTTATATACTCAATTTTCATAATGCGATGTTAAATTTAATTTCAATTTTATAATATCTTTAATATGTATAATTAGCCTAATTTTAGTGTATTTAATTACTTTGTAATATAATTTAATTTATATTTAATATGGACCAATTTTATTTATTTTTTGAAAATAAATAAACTAAAATAAATTTTTAACATTGCAGCGCATCATGTTTGGTTCATAGCAACATTTTAATAACTACAAATGTACAACATGATACGCAACAAAGAATATGAATTTGAATTAGATCGCTTCGCCATTGAAGAGCAGAATACAAAAAAAATACAATGGCAGTTGAACAGTCTTAATACACAAGCTACTACTCGAATGTCAAACATACAAAATCCTGCCATTGACACGCAATCGACATACAACTAAGATGTTTTAAGATTAGCAGACTTGGTGCTCAGAATATATTCCTTTATTATTTACTTTCATGAGTTGGTGTCCTCACGCCCCAAAAGTGTTTAATATTAGACCCCACTGCTAGGTCCACACTTAGTGAAGACCGGTGTCTGAAAACAATCAACATCATAATCCACTAGCCTAATGCGGGTTGGAGACTTCACTTGTTTTAAATGGCATTGCATTGCATGCTGCACGTTCATCGTGTCAAACCAAAACACTGCAAATTACAGTATAGTGTTTTCTTATTTTCGTTACAACAATTATCATTCGGTTGCTATCGAGACAAAACAAATTTAAAACTCAATTATAATGGATAGAATGCTTTAATCTTGTAATGCACAAAGTAAATGGCATTAAAAAAAAGAAAAATTAGTATTACAGTGTATTTGCTTGATACGATAGAGCTAGTGTCACATATAAATAATGCGCAACCTACAATGCCACAGACGAAAAAATGTTAAAAATGACTTCTTAAGAATGACTTCCTCAGGGTGCGAGGCTAGGTCCACATTTATTTGTCGACTGTGAATTACCTTTTCTTTTGAATTAAGTTAGTATCTACATTTCTCTGATGTAGTTCATGTTTTTTCTACTCCTGTTTTATATTTACGAGCAGATGTTCACTGTTGATTGTGTGTATTAAAACATATTCTGTTTCAGGCGTAATCTTCGTAACTACAGGAAGCTACGTCTACTGTTTCCTCGCAATGAGCGTGAGCTGTTTTATTTCTGTCGTGCTGTGGACGGTCGAGTACTTTGTGTACCGCAAGAACAAAACCAGGAGGTGCCAGTGAGAGTCGCAAGAACAAAACCAGGCATAGACTGTGCCAGTGAGAGTTACAATGTTCCTTGTTAATAGTGAAGTTGCAGTTTAAGGTTTATTTTGATTATGTAACAATATAATGTGAACAATATGTATTTAGTAACATAATTCTCGATTTGTAAAAGTTCAGTTTGTGAATATTTAAAATTTACACTCTGCCAAATTGAACAATATCTAAGACGGAACATCGCTGTCAATTAGTGCAATGTAAAAAGTAACAGAAAAACCCGACTTCAAAAATTTATGGAATTACATCTATTTGCCAAGTTTTGTTTGGATCGGTTACCGGAAAGTGCGCGAAACCGGATTAATCTCCCTTATTGGTGTAATATTTTACTTCAAATTTAATAATATACTGAGGTACCCTCTTTCCAACAAATAAATTGGTTTCGGAGTTATCGCGTAAGTTACATACAAAACAAAATTCAGCCGAATTGAGAACCTCCTCCTTTTTTGAAATCGGTTAAAAATATCGAGTTCATAGGTTTTTCACTGTTCACTGCCGAGTTTGGTACCTTCCAAAAAAAAACGTTTTGTTAAAAAAGTTAGTACTGCTTAGTATTTTTTTTACCGTCCGTGATACATACAAGGTTTTTCATCACATTCTCGAGGAAATAAATACAATATAAATATAGTTCACAACACAACAATATCGATTTGGCAAATGGCGGGTTTTTGTTTTTTTTAATTCTTCCAATGATGATACAACTCGAACTATTTTTTTTTTACAATATCAAGTGACACCTGATGGTAAGCTACACGCCTGTCCCGAGCTTTAAATCGCAAAGATCTGAGGGGCATTGCCACTGTGCCCGTCACCTTGAGACATAACTTGACAAGTCCTAAGTGCCTGTAATTTCACCAGCACCCTTATCCTTCAAAACCGGAACATAGTAATGCTGACATTGCTGCTTGGCGACAGAAATAGATAAGGTGGCAGTACTTCCCTGGACGAACGAAGCAAACACTCATACAGCCATGATGGATTGTCAAAAAAATTGGCAAAATTTCTATACAGAAAATAATTAAAACCAATTATAAGAAATTCTTAATAATATAATTAAATACAATTAAATTTCTGTTTAGAATAACATTTTAAGCAAATGTTTTAATTTTGAAGTTATGTAACCTCCTTGCTTGAATTTGAACCTGGCCTGAAGGAAGAATGTCGTGTTACAAATAAAGAAATTTTCTTGGCTGTAATGGAATAAAATGGCCTGTTGGTTTTATTTGGGGCTTTCCAGTCAAGTTAGCCGTCATTCAATCATACCATTTCCGAGCCAGTGTGAAGAAAGCCAACTACCGGCTTGGGGACTTCACAGGTTTTCTGAGGATTGTGAACGTTCTTCGACGTGCAGTGGAGCTTCTTGTGAACAAGCCAAGTCCAAGCAGTAATGAGAGCGTTATTGCGATCACGTGCATGACATTACAGGCACATACGACTTAACAACTTTAGTCTCAGGGTGATGGGCGCAGTGGCAACGTTTCAAAACTTTGCGATTTAAAGCTCTGCGTGGCACTGCATCTGTTGACAGGCGTGTCTTCCAACCAGGCGAACAATTTGTCAATTCCGTTACCCTTGTTTTGGTGTATAAATTTCGTTCTTAAGTAATTTTCACATTTTTTTGCAATTAGGTGCGTCTTTCACTGTAAGTGGGCTATGTAATAATAATAATATAATAATAATGCACACACTCAACATAGTACACTACAACATGTAGTACTCAATTGCCATGAGATATGCCTTAGAGTTAGTAAGAAAAACAAATGGCGTCATTATTACATTATCAAGCATTTATTTTAAGAAATCACAATGTATTAAACTAAGTATTATTAGGTATATATAGATATCTAAGTATTTATTATAAATGACTTTCATTATTTTTAAACCCTCTTTCGAATTAACAATTTGATATTTAATTAACTACACACACCAGCACCTTTAGCGGAACAAGTGAAAATATAAAATAATAACGTTTATATTTAAATAAATAAGAAGTATAACAGCATAAAGTAACAATTAAGTTAACATCATTTAACATCGACTAAGTCTTCCTTCTTTTCTTGAAAATAATCGAAATTAAAATACTGCATTATTTTTAAGATTTTATGACAAAGCAGAGATTGCTGAAAATTAATCAAATTGTAACAGTTTAACATTGATTAAATAAAATAAATAAATAACGCACACACTCATAGCCCCGCACTAGGAATACCCTGTGTCGCGGGTGCCATGGACACACACATAGAACACCACAAATTACACCCAAACTGACGAAAAAAATACATGTAGGTCATACAAATATTTCTCCCGGCCCGAGAATTGAACCAGGGACCTTTGCGTGGCAGACCAGCATGGTAACCGTTCGGCCACTAAGGCAGTTAAGTAAAATTTAATAAATAAATAAAAAAAGACTAAAGTTTACGAAATTCACAAGAACGCCAAATCAATCACTCGACGAACCTGTATTAGTAGGAAATTAAAACAAATGAATGAAAAAAAATGACAGTCGCTATTTTTATTTTCTAATTTAATCTGAAATAAAAAAGTAATATACCAAGCGAGATTTTTGAAAAAACACTTCAATGTTCCGCTAAATATACCGGTGAGTGTATTATAAGGTCTTGAAGATCTAATACATAACTGTAGGTGAGGGGCAAAGGATTTTATAGTCCATACATTGGTATTTAAATGTTTTTACAAACAGTGCTTTAGAATGGTAAAAATCACGCAATGGTAAATTACATTAAATTGTATCATCGTTTGTTTTTTTTTTACATATTTTTTCTACTCCTGTACTTGAATCTGTCAATTATAATTTCTTAAAACCATATCACAAAGACGCCCTTTTTACTTCTGAACCAAAATTCTATTGTCTATGATACTCGCTACTGAACTGAAAAATTTGAATATAGTACGCAGAGCTGTGGTGAGTTTCAAAAAAAGAATGCCGTATTTTTGCTAATTAAAAAAGTTTCCTTAAACGCGTCATTGTGTTCCTAAACAGAATAATGTCACTGTATTCGTGAAATTATTATAATTAAAATTATTTTACTAAATAATATCTCAAAACCTTACACAACAGGTACAAATGTGTAACCATTTTGGCGAAAAAGAACTATTTAAAAACAATATAAAATATGACGCTCGATACTAAAACGCTCTACTGCCTCCTGATTGGTTAAAATAAAACGGTAGGGACTCTGCCAATCACGGACACTTCTATTTTATCTCTTAGGTTTTTTGTTTTGTAGCGTTTGCTTGGTTTTCATGTGATTTTATTGTCGTGGATTGTTAACAAAATAATCTTTAAAAATTGGTTGTGTCCTTATTTTATTTGCAGAAAAAGTATTGTATGCAGTCATAATATTGCATAATTACGTCTTAAAATCTCGTAAACACGGTACTCGACTTTAATAACCCTCATTATGCAACGATTCCATAAAATATTATTATTTATCCTTTATTTTTATGTTTAGTGCGTAATTAAGAGCCTTATTCTCTTTAAAACGCTCTGTAGTTCAAATTGCAATTTGACACTTAAGGTTCTTTACCTTTCACCTACAGATAATATTTTTAGACATTAATTAAAATTCAAAATCATAGTGTAAGTTATAATTTTACAATATTCATACTTAGGGGAAGAAAGGGCGTATAATTAAATTGATCGAAAATTGGATATTGATAAATTTGAGTTACTTACCTATGTTACCTAAGTATAACATTCTTATTCGTCAAAATTAGATTTAAAAATGGTGATACCAAACTTACGCAAATCTTTGTTATTTAGTCATCTTATAAGGGAGTTACCATACTCGTCGACATGTAATTGCATTAAGCCGGTCAGAGAACAATCACGTCCATGCGGTAAGCGTGGTCGAGCCGAAGCGAAACGCGCAACGTCTTCATCGATCTTATTGCATGGACATAGACCTTATTCTGACCGGCTCAAACCGATACCGTATTAAAAAGTGTGGTGACATTCTAAAGTCTGTATGACTCCGAAGTGTCGATATGTCAACTATCGTAACAATTATGATATCATTTAATAAAGGATGTCTAGTCTATTTCTTTAGGGTGCGTACAGATCTGGAGAATGCGCATTTGCGAGCGCTGTGCGCGTGTAGTGAGTGCACCTCTGTAATCACATCTCACGCAAGGCTAGCATCATGGCGCGCGAGCGGCACGCCAACAAATTGCACTACGAAATGCACGCGTGCAGCTCGCGAGCCATTCGCAACCAAATATTTGGGGTTAAAGTATGAAATTGCCGTTTTATTGCAATAGGTTCTTCGAATTTTCATAGAATCTTCATGGTTTGAGGTTTTCGAATGAAACTTTTTTCAAATGGTTTCTGCGATTTTTTATTTTTTTTTAAATTTGAAACATTTGAATATCGACTTTCAATTGTTTTTGTTATTCAATTTAGACAAGAAAGATGGATACTGCGAAAATTCGAGTGATTTTTGAATACGAGTTCCGACGCGGAACTAACGCGGCAGAAACAGCCCGCAATATCAATGCTGCGTTTGGAGAGGGGTCTACTAATGAACGCACCGTGCGATTTTGGTTTAAACGCTTTCGTGATGGAAATTTCGACTTAAAGAACGAGTCACGAGGAAGACCGCCCACACAGGTGAATAACGATGAATTAAGAGAGATAGTGGAAGCCGATCCTAGTCAAACTACCCAAGGAATTAGCGGCATGGTTTAACGTTACCTAACCCACAATATTGACTCACTTGCGTCAAATCAATAAAATAAAAAATACGAAAAATGGGTGCCTCATGATTTGATTGATCTGCAGAAAGAAACGCGTGTTGAAACTTGTGTTGCCTTGTTGAACCGGTACAGAAATGAAGGAATATTGGATCGAATTGTAACATGTGATGAAAAGTGGATTCTTTATGATAATCGGAAAAGAAAAATGCAATGGCTGACCCCAGGTCAAATGCCACAACAGTGTCCTAAAGCAAAACTTACCAATAAAAAGGTAATGGTAACTGTTTGGTGGTCTCAGCATGGTGTTATTCACTATAGTTTTCTCCGATCTGGTCAAGCAATAACGGCAGATGTCTATTGTGCCGAACTCCGAACCATGTTGACAAAACTAGCAGTAAAACAGCCCCGACTCATGAATCGATCTTCACCATTATTGCTCCACGACAACGCGAGACCTCACACAGCACGAGAAACCATTTTGACCCTTCAGGAACTGCAGTTAGAAACCATTCGTCATCCTCCGTATTCACCAGACCTTGCTCCAACGGACTACCATTTTTTTCGTGATTTGGACAATTATCTACGTGACAAGAAGTTTTCTTCCCAGGAGGCAGTACAAAATGCTTTCACACAGTTTGTGCAGTCTAGATCGTCGGAGTTCTATCGCAAAGGCATTAATAACCTTCCCATTAGATGGCAGCAATGTATAGATAATAATGGCAACTATTTTGATTAAATAAATTTGTTAAAAATTTAAAAAAGAAACAATTTATATTTTCAGTACAAATCGGCAATTTCATACTTTAACCCCTATTATATTCGCCACAATTGTACGCACCTTAACATAAGTACATATACACATACAAAACAAATTGAAATGATGGTGCTACATTTTAGACTTTAATATTTAGAAACTAAAGTTAAAAGTAGCAGATCACTGCAGTAAATTCAAGAACAAATTTTTTACTGTGCAACTTGTCTATGCTAATAGCGACATTTTGACTACGTAACGTTCGAAAGCGTGGCCGAAATTGAAATGAGGTTTTGAATATTTTACAGAATGTGAGTCAAGAGCACGTTAAGCTTGACACTTTGGACTTAGGACCGTTCCTGTCGCAAACTTATTGAATTCAAATCTTAAGGTAGTCACCAAACTTATCTACACGGAATTGCATTAAGCCGATCAGAAAAAAGTTTTATGTAAAAAGACGTGCGTTTCGCGTGCGGCACTGGCGGTTAAAGCGGGAGCAAAACGCCCCATGTCTCTTTCCTTCTTATGGCATGGACATTCAGCTTTTTCTCATTCCGTTTTCATAAGTGTGGTACCTATCTAAGATCGCATTCCCATTATGTCGAAACGTTTAATTTATAGTTGGACGACAGTCGTGTCTAGCTATTCCCACTAGATCGTGACGACAATTTATCGGTGCACGTACAGACAACGATAAATAAAACATAACGACGATAGTGCTCGTATATGTCGTCACTATTTATCGAGACGTTTCATTTATGAACGACAGTCGTTATAGCTCTTTCCATTGTCTCGACAGTCTGTCGACGATAAATAAAACATCTCTATAAAAATCGTGTTGTACTATATGTGAACAACTTCATTTAAATATATAATCACGACACTAAACTGCACGACTATCTGTCGACACGACGTAATGGGGACGCACCGTTAGTGTTGTTCTTAAGCTGACGTTCTTTTGACCCTGTATTAAGTAATATTATTCATGGAGAAATTAAGCCTGTTATTTCTCCAACATGGGTCTTTTGAACTTATGCCTCAGGGTGATGGGCGCAGTGGCAGTACCTCTGAGATCTTTGAGATCTAAAGCTCTAAGTGGCACTGAAATTGTTATTAGCAGGCGCACGACTTGTTCATTACTGGGTATCATAAAAATCTTCTGCAGAGTATTTCTGGATTCGAACAAATTGTTAAAAAGTAATGTGGGAAAAAAATCTTACTTGGATTAGAGATATATAGTATCGCGAAATTAACCATGTCAAGTAGTAACGGTTTACCAGCGTATGTAAGGTGACACTGTATATATAAGGTATTTAGGCACTAGAAGACGGCACTCTTTCCCTCGGCTCCATTCTGATTCTGAAGCCATCAGCGCGTTTCAGAATAATATCAGCTTTCAATTTGAATTGGTCTTCAGGGACTTCGGATACTATTTTGAAATTTCGCAAAATAGTTGCTAGCAGAACTTTCAATTTGAGTAGAGCGTATTTGCGACCTGTTGACAAAATAGAGATGAGAAAATTCAAATTAGACAATTGTTAGCAACTACCAATAATTGTTATAACAGTTGTTATATAACCTTGTTAATAAAAAATCAACCTCAGAAATTTGTGGAATGACATCTATTTGGCAAGTTTTATTGAAATATCGGAATTTGGGTGAAATCCAATAAACCAGTCTCATTCTTTAATAATAATTGCTATCTTTAAATGTAGAATAGTTTGTTCAAATTTAAATGGGGCCGCTATTAACACACACATACAAACACACTCAACATAGCCCCGCACTAGGGAAACCCTGTGTTGCGGGTACCCAACGTTACGAGAGAAATAAATATGGACCATACAAATATTTCACCCGGTCCAGGTATGGAACCTGGGACCTCTGCGTGGCAGTCCGGCATGGTAACCGTTCATCCACGAAATATAATACAATAATTATCGAAATTGGTTGACAAATATCGGAGTAAATTGAGAACTTCCTGTTTTTGTTGAAGTCGGTTAATTATAGACCGAAAATTATCCCATTTCCCATTGTAAAATATCCACAAAATCTATGACCATTCAACTAGAAAAATAATTTATAATAAAATAGTATGTTCCATTGGCTGCAACAGCGCTGCAGCCGCGCGGCAGCCGCGTGACGTACGCGCGATTGTCACTTTTCATACAATTTCCAGAAGCGCGGTAACCGCGCGGCGGCCGCGCGATAGTCGCGCTGCAGTCACGCTCGGTTGCAGTAACGATTAGTGAGGTGTACATGTTAATTTTTCAAATTAACTACGATAGACGAAAATCGAGTGAAGAATTTATAGAGAATGCAAAACAACACCCTGTAATATGGGATATCAGTTCCGCCAGTTATTCTAATCGATTGGAAAAAAAGGCATCGGAAAATATATGTCTAAAATTTATTGACAATTTTGAAACTAAAACTGCAACTGAAAAAAACAAAGCAGGTGCGTCATTTTTAATATCTATATGTGAAGTGTGAGCCCCAAGAACTAGGTAAAAGTAACGTTTCTTCGTCAGAATCCATTGTGTAAATGAGTCTAAAGATAAAACATCACTAAAAATTTGGTCGCACTTCAGCAGCGCGACCGCCGCGCGGCCGCCGCACGATTGCAACGCGACCGCCGCGCGGCTGCAGCGCTGTTGCAGCGCGTCTAACAGCGGCTAATTTGAATGCGCCCAAAAGGATTAACATGAACCAATTAGTTATCAACTCACCAACACAACTCCTGGGCCCAGCGCTAAAAGGTATGAAACTATAATAATGCCGGTTTTGCGTGTTTTCAGGTAGAAAATTGTCGGGATCGAAAACGTCCGGGTTCTTGTAATACTGCGGGTTGCGGTGGATTTTAAAAGTGCCAATGACCACAGTTGAACCGGCTGGTAGAACGTAGTTATTTGTGGCTGAAATAGAAACAGCCACATAAATTTTAAAGGGAAACTTATTATATCGAATCATTTTTATGATTAAATTCAATGAAAAACAATAGGAAATATGAAAGAAGGAAAGAAAAACAAAAGACGTCGCAAATGACGCCAGAGAACAAAATAAAATTACAACAATAATTATCGATAAAACCAAAGTTACTTTTAAGGTAAATAAATAAAGGTAATTTTTATGGTGCCAGCAGCGGTTACAAAAAAGTCACGAATACGATGTTTGCTGGAAAACGCAGTGTGTTTCCAACATTGATTTAAGTAAATATCCTTTAATTACCACAACCGTAGAAACTATTTTTGGGTGACCAAACAAAAAAAAAAACAAACCGAGCTACGTAATCGTAGAAATAGGGCACGGAAATACAGACAGAAAGAAACAATTGAAAAATGATCTTACAAATCATAACATCCCTTTTCAGCTTTCTAGCAATAACGGGTACTGGTGGGTACATCCTCAGAGACTCCAAGATCACTCTCTCGAGATATTTCATACGAAGGGTGTCAGCAAAAGTGACAGGTCTGTCAGAGTTACCGAAGATTTCATACAATTCGTCGTAAACCTTGACTTGAATATTCGAGTGAACACCAAGAAGGCATAGTACGAACGATGATCCAGCTGCCGTAGTATCGTGTCCCTGCAATTTGCCATAAATACCTCTAAACATAGTATTTAAGTTCTGCAACGAAACTAATACGAAATCCTGTCACCTCAAACATAATAGTGTCAACTTCTTCTTTGATCTCGTGGTCGCTAATTTTGTTTGTCCCATTTTGAGCTGATTCTAGCATCAAGTCCAGGAAAGCAAGGCGTTTCTTTTCACCTGTAGAGAAATACTTAGACATTAGTAAAGCTGTAATTAATTTCGACTGCACATACATTTTGAGCGGCTCCATACCAACGTCATTTTCATCATTGAAGTCGAGATCATCACGGTAACCCTTGAAGACAGTGTCAGCAAGGGTAGCATTGTCATTAGCTAGAGTGTTATTATTTTCAACAGTTGGTCGGATCAATTCATCAATGGTTGGAGGAATAATACCTCTGGCTTTGTTCTGTATATACGTTTCCTTTTTGTTTTTAATTACCTGCAATTAAATTGATATAAATATTTAATTTTACATTTTTGGTGTAATTTTACATGTGTAGGTTTATCCATGTCGTGTTCGCAGACTGCAGACTTATATACGCGACGGTGTTTGACATCAGCTATATGTTCTTTGACGCGGGTACAAATACTTCGCTTTGTTTGTCCAATATAAGAGAGACCGCACTCACAGTCAAGCTTGTAAACTTGTACAGGATGCAGGACCTACACATTCAATGAAGTTTGACAAACTCCAGGTCCTTGCAAAAGAAGTCCGTTATCTACCCAGGATGCTGCGAGAGGCCATTGAAATTAAAAAACATCCTAATTTCAACAGGGAAGATGGTTTCTCCGTACCACCAGTTTGGGATCCAGTATTTCCTCTAATGAAAAATCCCAAACAGACATAAGACTGCAGTACTAATTAATATGTTTTAGTTTATTCTAATTTCTATTAATAATTAATAATAAATTGAACTTTATAAAAATCATTGAATAAAATAATTTGTAAAACTTAATATAGCGTAAATTAGAATGTTTTCTTTGTAAAATTAAAAATAAGGTATTTAATTAATAACTATTGTAACTATAATGAAAAAATAGGGTGGTTTGCATCAATATTAGACATAACTGGTATAAAGACTGTACCACCTCAGTCAACCGTGACCATGGGACCTGTAAAGGGCCCGAAACGTCGGTTTGTTTGAAAGAACAAATATACGCGATTTAAATCCGGAAAAATAGATTCATTTCCTACATTTTATTTTTATTTATTTTATTTAGGTAAAAAATTTACATTTGAAAACAATAATAATACTAAAACTAAAATCTTTCGCCTATAATTCGAAATGTTTAAAATTACAAACCTTGTTCGTAAGACCGTGAATAATGTTCAAAAGATTGATTTGTTGTTTGAAGAACGAAGTAAATTTGAAAATAGAGTCGAAACGCAACCAGAATTTGTAGTGTCTCTGATGTATTATGTCACACATTCTGAAAAATACTTAAGCGTAAGTTACAGCAAAGCTTGTCAGACAGCATGTTGTTGATCTTCGTTATACTGACTTCATTACAGCCATAGCGTAGTCAAAACCAGATTCATCTTGGGTTTTCCTCGTAATGCCCATTGCAGTTTCTGAAAGGGGTAAAGATCACATTTAATATGTGTTCATTCACGTCAACAATGAATTGCTCCAACCTGTACTGATTTTTATGCAAATTAAATGCAAAATTATCATTGTTTGTATGTAATGCATGCCATTGTTTTATTGCCAATAAATATTTAATATATTCTTGGAATCGTAAATAAAGTGTCAATCGAGTTGAATCACGTGTAGCTATAAGCAGGGTTCGGTAAAAGACAACTTTTAACCGACTTGCAAAAAAGAAAGTCAATTCGTTTTGTTTTTGTGTATGTCACGCATTTACTCCGACATTTGTGAAGCGGTTTCCATATTCGAAGAAAATATTCCATCTCTAAGGGTGCCAAATTAAGGGGTGAATCTGGTTTCTTAGATTTCACCCACTCTCCTTTAATAGATTGCAATAAAATTTGGCGAATAGATGTAAACTCTCTTCAAAATGTCCTCAAACTTTCAAAAGGTCGTAGGAACTATATGGAACTATTATTAATTAGCTTTCATTATGATTATAGGTACAGATATTTTTAAATTTGAATAAAGTATTATAAGAAGTGATCGGAGTAAGTACTGTGTTCACTAAATAAAGTTAGTCCTCGTAATATTTAAAGAACAACAGACAGAAAATTTAAAAGATATTAAAATAATGAAACTTTACAAAAAGTTTTGATGTCTACCTAAAAATATGCACGTTTAAACGTTTTCATTTTTTTATCTACTATAGTAAACAACTATATTATTCCATTGATTTTAATGTGCTGGCATTATTTAAGCAGTATGAAGACTCAACAAGTTCAATGTTTTATAGTACCTACGCAAGCAACAATTTTTCTTTTTCAACAATGGCCGATTTCGTTTTTTACAGCATGACGCTTTTAAACTGACCGTCAGTTTTTTATAACTTGCATACCAATAGTTTTGTATGTTACTTACTGTGTATAATTGTATAATATTACTATTGATTCATACCTTTGTTGGAAAGTTTCATGGTATACTTTAATAGAAACCCACGGAACCTCATGTGCGTTGTTTTGAACTTTGTCTTTACCACATTATGCGAGATATTGATTGAGGTTAGAAAGTTAGTTAGGGTCAAATAGCTGTGTTAGATTAGTTTGTTTTAATTCAGTACTGAATTATTATTGCATTTTACTTTCGCTCGTTTCATTACAAAACGTTTTTGATTTTCAAATTCACTTATTTATTTAAACTTTTTGCAAGATAAAGTTTAACTGGCGGACTTGATGCCATAAGGCAGAATGCACCAGTCAGCTATTGTGCCAAACAGAAAAAAAAACGTTAGGTTGGTGCTACACTTAAAACAAGAATAATAAAATACCATATGCCTATGCCTATACAACTTCAAGGTTGATTTCGTATAACATATAGTAAAATTTAGGATATGCACTGATTATTACTATACGGTGTGAAAACACGATTCCTAAAAATATTCAAAAATATTGTTAATATTTCACGGTAGATATTTTATCAGAAAACCGCTGTATTTAATGGGTAATTAACAAATACCAATAAAAAAAATAAAAAAAAAAATATTTTATTACTTCACTGTCCATGGCATAATTCAGGGGCTGATGTTTCCTTTTAAGCTTGATAAGGCCTGTGTTAGGAAACATCGCTCTTCTGTACAATTAATAATTAAACATTGCTCTTACATTAACCTTAATAAACCAATGATCTCTTTTTTGTATCAACTAAACTAAATAAAACACGTACCATATACAATGGCTTCAATTACGGTTGTAAACTCGTTTAGAAGTGTACGGGAAAAGTCATAGTTTATGTTACATTGCATCAAAACATGTTTTGTATGATTTTTTGTCTTATAAAAAAAAAACTCTGGAATAAAGCCAGTGTCCCTGTCGCTTGACCCAAGTAAAATCAACCTTATTAGCACGGGAAAAATTAGAATTCGAACAGAGGTGGTATAGACTCTTAATCCAAAATGCTATAATTAATGTACATGCATAATAAATATATGTATGTATATATGTATCACACAGCAACACTATGCAGACTCTTGATCTTGAAAATTGTCAAAAACATACATACTTGCGCAACATGTGCTTGAAAGATAATTTGGTCTGGGGTTGTCTAACATTGTGTTTTTCAAGGTGTGTTTAGACTATTTTTAGGCAAGTTAAGCTTTCCTGAATTCAAGATTTTTCCATATAGACTTACCCAAAAGAATGTCGACCGTAACTCCGCTCATGTAATCATGAACATCGAATGTCTTTCCCACCTCTTGCCGCATCTTCTCAACGACATTTCTGCTGTTCTGATTGAAAATGCCAATGAACGACTTGAGAATGTTGATGTGAAAGGTTGGAGCTATCATCTTCCTGTGCGACCTCCATTTTTCACCTTTTAAACAGATAAAAAAAAACACAAGGAAACAATATTAATTGATTTGAAAAATGTGTCGTATTTTCTTTTTTACTAAAAAAAAATTGACCTCAAAAGTTGGTGGTATTACATCCATTTTGCCAAGTTTTATTGAAATCGGTTAACGGAAAGTGGGAGAAATCCAATAAACTGGATTCATCCCCTAATTTGCCACCCTTGCAGATGGAATATTTTCTTCAAATTTGAATGGTTTCCAACAAAAAATAATCATCGAAATCTGTTCACAAATATCGGGTAATCGCATCACATAAACACAAAAAAATACAGTCGAGTTGAGGTTGAGTTGGTAAAAATTATCATCAAAAAAGAAGTAACACTGTCAGTATAAACGGTGAAAATAGTGACTTAATACCAACAGTATGCGGCACGGCCCAAGGCTCAATTCTAGGCCCAACCGAATATCTAATTTATGTGAACGATATGTGCAACGTATTACGAGCTCAGTATGACACTTGTTTGTTAACCGCGCACAAAGATTTAAAAGTCGCCCAACACATGATGCAGCAAGAATTTGATAAGCTGTGTAAATGGGCACATGACTTGGGTCTATCTATTAATTTTCAAAAAACCAAACTCTTACATATACAGTCACCATACTTAAAATGTAGACATTTACCGCAAGTTGTAGCTCACGATCATAATTGCATGCATCATCAGCCCATAAACTGTCATTGTAAACCATTAGAATTGGTAAAGGAACATATACATATATCTCGGATTAGAAATTGACCATAAATTTAACTGGGGCCCACATGTTGAACATGTATGTAATAAGTTTAGTGCGGTACTTTCCAAGTTATGTATACTCAAACAAAAACTACCATATAATACATTGAGAATGTTATATTTGGCACTGGCTGACTCTATAATTAATTATTGTATTACGAGCTATGGTCGTACGTACAAAACATTCCTACAGAATATTTATAGACTTCAAATAAAACTGCTTAAGACCATTGTACCTCCTAGAATTAGATATAAATTTAAAGATAATTATGACCAACTATTTCAGTACTGTAACGTAATGAATGTGTTTGATAAAGTTAAATTAGCAATGATAACCGAAAATTGTGGAAAAATAAAGTTGTTAAAAGTTAAAATTAGACCGAATTCATTACGTACACTATCACATCTACCCATGTATGATATACCTAAATATAACAATAATTATGGTAAAAGAGTTTGGATGTGTGAACTTCCTGTGATATTAAATAGCTTACCAAAAAATCTTATAAATGAAATAACAGATAAAAAGCCTATACAAGTCAAAAACAAATTAAAAAGTTTTTATATGAAAGATCAATATCAGAGGAGGCATATGCAAACTGGTCATTGATTTAATTGTCGTACCTTACATATTAACGCAACTCACTAGAAAAGGACAAATAATCTTCAATTTTAAGATTCTACCTTGAATATACTGTAACTTGTTATTAATATTTGTAATAAACAGTTTTAAATTTTAAATTTTTTTATTTTAGGACGTCCTCCTTTTTTGAAGTGAGCATTTGACTTCTATCTCACCTGATAGAAAGTGACGACGAAGTCAACGATGGAGCATGCACACCTAACTAATGCCTATTCACTCTCGCATTAAAAAGATCCAAGTTATAATGTTCAGGGAACAAGTCTGCAGGCAGGGAATTCCACTCCATAACCGTTCGCTTTATAAATGTGGAAGTGAAACGTTTTGCGCGAATCCTTGGAACATCCACAACACAGGGGGGGAATTAATTCGTGTAAATCTGTCGCACATTCTCCGTGATATATCCTGTAGAATATCGATGAACTGGCAACTTTACGGTGGTGTTCAAGGCTCTTCAGCTTCGCCTCTACTAATTCCGGGTCTAAGCATCTTGACACGCTTGTCGATTGAATCGAAGGTGGCCAGTTTGTATGTAGCAGAGTCATTCCAGAGGTGGCAGCAGTACTCCATACACGAAGAAGAAGTAGAAAAAGTCGGTTAAAATTAACACGAAATATCCGAGCATTGTATATTTGTGAGAAAGTCAAATTTAAAAATTATTAATAGTTAATTGTATTTACTGTCACGCATACTTTCTGAAAGTATGTGAGGGACGGAATTGCATGAAATCATTTCACCTACTCCTTTCTATCATCGGGGAACTAGACTTCAGCTGGAGTGCCACTCCAATGTTATGGATATACCCAAGATTCGCACGAAGCGTTGCGCTTCCATTAGAGTGAAATACTCTGTCTGCAGATTTGTTCTTTGAACGCTATAAATAGGGTCTTTGAAAGGTGAGAGTGAATAGGCATTATATAAATACTCCATAAGGTGAGATGGAGGTAAATTGCTTACTTATTTTAACCATAAAAAAGCCATGCAGAAAAGAAAGTTATTTTAATTTTTGTAGAAAAAGAAAATTTGAATGAATAAACAGGTTAGTAGATTTTTTAAAGGCAGAAAATTATTTCATAGATGAAGTAACAATTTCTTAAGATTCTGTAGACTATATTACCTGCACTGATGAGTAAACCTTCTCCGAGCCAGGGTTTGAAGAACCGGTACTCTGAAGACTTGTCTATGTGAACCTGGCTATTGAGGATAACCTCGACGTCGTCAGCGTCGGTCAAGAAGATAATGAGCTTGGAGCCCAGCCAGCCTCGTATAACATTACCGTATTTCTTGCCGTATTGCAGGCCCAGGGTCACCAGTTCTAGAAATTATAATTGACGATTGAATATGGTTTGCCAGATATAGCAATTAAAGTGCCTATTTGCACGTGCGGAAAACGGATTTTTTTATTGAGCAATAAATACATACGTAATTTATACCTTAAGTTTCCTTTACAATTTAATCTTACCTACCAGTGATTACAATAATATTTTATGCAATCGTTGCTTAATGAGGATTTTTAAAGTCGAGTACCGTGTTTAGGCTACGAGGTTTATCCGAGTGGCCTAAGTAATAGGTACGAGATTTTAAGACCTAATTATTCAATGCAATCATTACATAATTAGGTCTTAAAATCTCAAACAATACTTTTTCTACAAGTAATTTAAAATAACGAAACACAACTAATATTTAATATATATTTTGTTAACAACACACGATAACAAACACGAAAACCAAACAACGCTACAAAATAAACAACCAAAGAGATAGAATAGAAGTGTCCGTGACTGGCCAGCGCTTATAATTTATCCAATCAGGAGGCAGTAGAGCGTTTGAGTAGCGTCTTATTCGATATTTGATATTGTTTTTAGATTGTTCTTTTACGCCAAATTACGCCTTTGTACCTATTTAACCTTACAACATTTTGATATGTTAATTAATAATATAATTTTAATTTTAATAATTTCACAAATACAGTGACGTTATTCCGGTCAGGAACACAGTGACCCGTTTAAGGAGACACTTTTAATTAGCAAAAACACTACATTATTTTTTTTGAAACTGATTATAGTTCTGTGTACAGAACTATAATGACAATTTTCGTTCAATTGCAAGTACCATAGACAATAGAAGTTTGGTTCAGAACTAAAAAGAGCGCCTTTGTTTGTTGAAATAGTGACGAAATGTCATTTAGTTTCTTTGAAAACTATTCTGTCATATCATTACGGTGACAACTGCGCATCGATTGGCCAGCCCGAATTCGAAACCATTGACGGGTCTCGTCAATTGTTTCACTTCAAATCGACTAGTTTAACGTCGAAAGTAATTTTGAGAGGAAATTTTTTTTTCTTTTAAACCTAACTTAACCGAACCTAATTGTGTCTTTGCAATAAACATCCAACATATCCAGAAAGAACAACGGTTTCGTTATAATTCAGTTTTCGGTCGGTGAAAAAATCATTCGAGTTTGTGATTGGTTACCGCATGTGAAACTATACTTGGCCGGACACAGTGAAACTATACTTATTTGTACATGTCAGCTTCTATATAATCTGTGTTTTCACAAATAAATGAAGTATTATTATTATTATTAAATTACAAAGATCTGAGAGACATTGATACTGCGCCCGTCACCCGGAGACTAAGTTGACAAGTGCCATGTGCACGTAATTTCACCAGCCTTTCGAAACTGAAACGCAATTATGTTCACATTACTGCATGGCGGCAGAAATAGGTAAGGTGCCAGTACTTCCCTGGACGAAATTCTTCACACAGAGCTCTACTGCTATTAAATTATTTATAATACAGTTATTTATACAGGGGTACGCGAAAGGAACCTCTCCAAATGACGTACCATTTCTTCCCTGGCTCGTCATCTGGTTCACCCTGGATGATCCGCGAGTACCTTACGCCGATCGGCAAGTTCTTTCGCCACAATGGAAAACATTATAATGTATACCATCGATACGACAAGAAGAATAGTAGATTCTACAACAAGTGCATAAAACGCGTCATTTTGTCCGAGACGAGTATATCCACACGAGCCACAGTGGATACTTAAGTTGAGGGTAAAATAGGTTTTATGAACGAGTTATACACTCTGCTTTTCACTTCGATTGTGAGGAAATTAAACAGCAATATTACAAATAAACGATTATTTCATTAAATTTGAATGTAAAATTACAACAATTAAACATATTTAATGTGTTAGTTTTTCCTGGTATATTCAGTGTATATTGAGATGCCTTTATTTTCAGGCGTCATTGCCTCGGTTTTAAACAACGATTTTATTTTGTGCACTAGAGCATAAAATCCTATTTTATGCAGCCTACATCCAGCATAAATACGAACTTTAAGAGCATGAGAAGTGAAAAGTATTTATAATTTGAAGGCGTAACTACGTCCGGATATTAACAATTGTAACTTTTTTTATAAAAAAGAAAAACGCCCTCAAAAATTCGTGGAATTATCTAACCGGTTACCGGAAAGTGTAGTTTACCACCCTTAGAGGTGGAATATTTTCTTTAAATTTAAACGATATCAATACTGAGGTACCCTCTTTCCAACAAAAAAGGAATCATCGAAATCGATTCACAAATACCGGAGTAATAGCGTATAGCGTAGTCGAATTGCGAACATCCTCCTTTTTTGAAGTCGGTTAACAACATTATAAATAAATGGGTATTGTTTTGTAAATACTCATATCCGCAATAGAGGTAGTGAACGTAAATTGACACACATTCACGTAAATTACAATTACGTAGATAGAGTATTAGAAACAGTTGAACATTGCGTGTTGTTGCTTAAAACTCGGCGCTAAGACCACCGACCTCGACATGAACATTACCTTTAATAAAACAGTATTAATTACATTATATTTTATGATGGTTATTGATTCGCGTTATACTTTAGCTTCTGCTCATGCACTCGTTCAAGTTACAGTGTTGCCACCGGAAATTGTTGCCTAATTTACAATGAGAGAATTAAAATCTGTGAATTTGAAATGCAAGTCAAGATTTTTCTATAACTACTCCTATGAATATAATTGAACTGCTGCCACGCAGAGGTCCCGGGTCCGATTCCCGGGCCAGGGGAAATATTTGTATCGTCCACATTTCTCTCGTGAGTTTGGGTGTAATTTGTGGTTGATTAAGTGTGTGTCCATAGGACTCACGACACAGGGTTTCCCTAGTGCAGGGCTATGAGTGTGTACGTTATTATTGTGGATATCTATTTTGATTATTATTGGTAGTTTACTTTAATTACTTCCATAGTATATTGTCCTACGGGATTCTCATGTGGGGTAAACCGGCCGATATTCAAACCATATTTGTATTGCAAAAACGAGCGATTCGTTCTGT